TCCATCCAAGGTGCAGTCGTGGGTTTAGGTTTGTAAGGTGTGCTGTGTCTCGCAGAGGAAGTTGTGTGACAACATTGTTACCACCTGTTTATCAGTCGCCAAACATTTCCTTAGCGCTGGCTTCTATCGGACTAGCTCATATCGCAATAGTGGACTAGCTCATATTGCAATAGTGGAGAACGCCCACAGGATGGATTCCATTTGGTTACTGCCAAAGCTGCTTCATCTCAGGCTGTGCTCTGGGGATGCTTTGACTCCTTGGTAAGGGAGGCAGCAACTGAAACCTTTACTCTGCAGCTCTTAGAATTTCTTAGAAGACTCTGGGTCTGTGTAGGGCTGCTGGGGGGCCCTAATTTGATCTGGGGGTGGTACTGTCAGCTTTGGTTGGCGTTAGCTTGCTCTGGGGCTCTGGGAAAGCCACTGAATCCCTTTGGGTCTCAGTTTTACCATCTGTTCAGTGAAGCCTTGGGACCAGGCAGCCTCCTGACATCCCAACTCTGAAAGAGGGTGATTCTTTCAGTAGAATCTTCAGTGGATGATCCATGAAGCTCTGAAAAATTCTGTCAACTTTTTTGCACACCAGAGGAAAACTCCCTTGTTTTAAACAATTACTCATCCAGTGTTTGTCAATAGAATGAAGGCATTTGAGTAGTAGCCTATAGGGTACTTGATTAGGAAGTTTAAAAAAAAATCACTTTATAATGTAGGTAACAGACTGAAAAATGAGTGTTGAATCACTTCTGATCATGCCTTCTGCTGATTTCTCCACCCCCATAGCTCCCTTTCATTAGCAAGGATAACAGAGAACTCATTCGGGCCACAAACACCGAGCAGCTGCTCTGCCCAGGACTGCTCAGATGGATGGTGCCAGTTTACAGAGATGCTCTTAGCACAGCCCTGAGCCTGGTCCCAGGGGGATGTGGACACAAATAAGGAATCCTGTGTGATGGGAAAGGGACCTCCTAGAGGAGGGGTAGGGGGTGAGAGGAGGAGGAGGGTGAGAGCCTGCAGAGGGAAGGAAGAATCCAACACAGCAGGATTCGACACGTTATTTCCTGCCAGCAGTTGGGCTGGTAGGGTATAGGCATTGTCCCGTATAATTCGTAAAACAACCTTGTTACCTAGTATCCATGCCCCCACTTTTAGTTTTTTCAAAGCTGAGCTGCAGAGAGTTTAGATTTGTTCGCCTCTGGCTACCTCACTAGTACTTGGCAGAACCAGGAGTCAAACTCAAACTGGATTCTAAATCCTGCCTTTCCTGGTCCATTGATATACATGACCTCAGGCTAAGAGTTTGGGATACTTGGAAGAAAGGGCATGAGACATGGGTCTTGATGGTTTGGCAGGTTCACAGATGGACGAGCTTGTGCCAAGGCCGGGGGGCTGGAGGGTTCAGCACATTGCTGGGGGTTGGGGGCAGAAGTACAAGACACGGTTCTAATGGTTGGTTAGGCCAAGCTCAACTTATAAAAACAGTAAGTTAAAATTCACGTAACAAGCATTTTACAGTATGCAATTCAATGGCATTTAGTCCATTCACAGTGTTGTGCAACCATCTCCTGTGTCTAGTTCCAAATATTTTCATTACCTGCGAAGGAGACTCTGTGTCCATTAAGAGTTGCTCCCCATACCCTGCTCCCAGCATCCCCTGCCTGTCACTAATCTGTCTTCTGTCTTTGGATTCATCTCTACTGACATTTCCTATAAAGAGAAGCATATAATATGTGACCTTTTGTGCCTAGCATCTTTCCCTTATCAGGTTTCCAAGGTTCATCCGTGTTGCACCATGTCTCGGTCCTTCATTTCTTCATGGCTAAAGAATTTGCCATCGGATGGAATAGTTTGTCTCTCCGTTCATTCGTTAATGAACATCTAGGGCTGTTCCCCTCTTTTGGCATTTATGAACAAGATCAAGGTCGATATTATAATTAGCTCAAGCCATTCATTCACTCATTGGCCCTTGAGCATAGAGATGGAGGTGGACGTCGTACCGGTGGCTGAGATGCTGCGGGAAGCATGTGAGAAGGAGAGACCCCAGGCAGGATTCGACCCTGGGCTTGGGGAAGAAGCGAGAGTGCATCCAGCTTCCCAAGATCAGCCTGCCTGAGGCTGTCTTTATCCGACATTCAGATTTCCAAGCCCTGCAGGAGACCGACCAAGCCAGCCGATGACCGAAATTATGACATTCAGTCTGTGTGTGTTGATTTCCTCCTTAGCTCTTTCTGCAGGAATTATTGTTGTCATTGACACGCTCACTCCCTTGAGCTTCTTTGGTTATTTTGCACGAAATTGGACTGCTTTGGTCTTAGCGACATCTAGCTGGAGGATGGTCTCCAAGGCGAGCTTTCCCGCGGCTCCTCAGTTTTCTTTTTGGGAATAAAGAGGCAAAAAAAAAAAAAGGACTTTGAGGGTACAACGAGGCCCCTGTCATGTGTGCTGAAACCTGGATTATGCGTTCCTTTCATAGACAAAGGCAGGACGAGGGAGGCCCCGCTGGTCAGCTCCTCGTGGCTACATCTGACACCTTTCGGGCTGGTGCTGCTGGCCCAGCTTGCCTTTGTAAACAGGGTTGCAACTGCGGGAGGACTTTTGGTATTTATCATCTGGGGTCCTAAAGGGACTGGTCAGCGACGACTGGTTTCTTTGGAGCTCATTCCCTGAAGTCTAGCGCCCAGTGGTCACCACCTCCTCTTTGGTAGACTGTCCCCTCCAGGCGCTGCTTCTTAGGGGTAATTGAAGGTTAATCAGATACACTACTTCCTGCTTCTGTATCAGCTAGTTAATATGTCACTACATCCAGATTAAAAAATGCCAAACCTTGAAAGGAGCTTGGCTAGTGTTGACAGTATCAGGCAAGCTACCTATGTTGAGGGATTATTTTTAAAAAATAGCATATTTCTCACATGTAGGGGCAGAAAAAAGATGCACCCGGTGATGCCTGGGGATGGAAAAGAGCTTTGCCAGAAAAGGGTGGACTTTGCGTTGAGAAGGAGATGGGGAGCCGAGGCTGGGGAAGTACCCCAGGTGACACTGACAAGGATGGGGTGTGGGGAGGGACTGGAGGATGAGATGAGTGGCCTGACTGGATGGTGTAGTTTTAGAGTTATTGGCAGTGGGATTTTATGGGGTCCCCTGAAACATGCAAGGAGAGAGGTTGCTGGACGCGTGTGTGCCTCTGCGCGGGTCCTCCTTGGCGGGAGTTTACCATGCATCGCAGCCGTGGAGCGCTGTTGAATTAGAAGGCAAGTGAGACAAAGTCTGGGAAAGGGGTGGGTCAGCCGTGCCAGAGAGAAGGCTGCCCAGAGGCTTCCTTTGATGGTCCTGTGGAGCTGAACTGATGAGACACTTTTTTTTAAAACATTTTTTATTGAGTTATAATCATTTTACAATGCTGTGTCAAATTTCAGTGTAGAGCACAATTTTTCAATTATATGTGAACATAAATATATTTATTGTCACATTTCTTTTTTCTCTGTGAGCTACCATTGATCTTGTATATATTTCCCTGTGCTATACGATGTAATCTTGTTTATCTACTCTACATTTTGAAATCCCAGACACTTTCATTCTTTCCGGAGTCTCTGAGGCAGATGCTGCTTCCTACTGGCGGTACTAAGATTTTTTGCTGGGAGAATCTAGTCCCCAGCAAGTGACTGTGCTTGGCTGATGCTTGGCAGAAGAGAAATCACTCTCTGCACGGATTTGTTCTTTACTGTTGCAACTATAATACCTGTTTCTGTCACCCTGAAGGAGATTTTGGAGATGGATGATGCAGATTTTTTTTAAAGGCAAGGCATCATTAAATAATTTTAGAAACTCATTCAACATTTTACATGTCAGTGATGACTGTCACATGGTGACAGTGGGTAGTGGGTGTGCTCCAGCCCAGATGTCACTGCCGCTGAAGAGTACACAGCTGGGATGAGTGTTTAATTCACTAAACACTGGAAAGCCTTTGATCAAATTGACCTCACTGAGATTTGAGTCTGGCTTTGTTTTTCTCTTTTCCCTCATGTTTTTCCCCCACATTGAGGTGATGGTGGCCCTGTTCTCTCGGTCCTCTGGATCTGCCACCTTGATCTTATTACTTTGAGATTCAATTTCTTGATCTACGAATCACAACAGAAAACAACATCTTCCTCCCAGGGTCGCTGGGATGATAAAATGAGGTATCAGATGTGAAGCTTGGTCCCTGGAAATGGAAGGTGATCAGTAAACACTAGTTCCCTTCTTCCTTTTTAGAGACGAGAAAATTGGCGAGACTGAGCTGACACTGACTGACTGTCCTCAAATGTTTCAGAGGCTATAACCTCTCACGGAGGAAAGACACTCAGTTTGGTGCTCCAGTGAACGGACCTGGAGCTAATGGGTAAAAATGGACGGGAGACAGATTTCAGCTCAACATAAGGAAGACATACGTCATAGCTAGAGCCGTCTCATGTCCAGTGCCGTGGAGCTCACGAAGTAGTGAGCAGCTGGTCCTGGAAAGTATTCCGTTAGCGCAGAATTTCTCATCAGTGCTATGGACATTTGGGGCAACAGGTAGTTCTTTGCCGTCAGGGGCTGTGATGTACGTTGTGAGGCGTTTACCAGCATCTCTGGCCTCTACTCGTTAGATGGTAGGAGCAACCTCCCCCTCGCCCCCTGCCCTTCTTGTGACAACCGGAAATGTCTCCAGACATTGCCAGATGTCTCCTGGAAGGCAAAATCGCCCCGGGTTGAGAACCACTAAATTAGAGGCTAGATGACAGACAGCGAACGAGACTCCCCATTCTCAAGGGCAGCTCCACCCTATCTCACGTTGAGTTCTTACAGCACTAATGTTCTCCTGGTGGGATTTTTTTTTTTTGCTTTGGGACATACCTACCACTGAGGATAAAAGGTCTAAGCCGGGTACCGTTGTAGGGTTCAGTCTGGGCCATAGGGGAGCAAGGGAAGTCCCCCCCCGGAAGGCCTTCCGGGGATGGTTTAATGGTTTGCTGCTCATCGTGGTTTTGCAGGTCATGTTGGCGGCTTCCTACTGGTCCCTCCTGGCCCCAGCGGTGGAGATGGCCACGTCCTCTGGCGGCTTCGGCGCTTTGGCCTTCTTCCCCGTGGCTGTCGGCTTCACCCTCGGCGCTGCTTTTGTCTACTTGGCAGACCTCCTGATGCCTCACCTGGTGAGTAGCACTCTGGTCGGGGCTTGTTGTGTCAGGATGTGTCCCGCTCTGTGCAGCAGATTCACTTCTGTTCAAACCTGGCCTCCCCAGTCGTGTCTCTGTAGCCAGTGATGTCGAAATGGACATTTCAACCCATTTAGGGCTTTTACCTGGAGGAGTTGAATTGTGACTTAATTCCTATAAGAAGATAAGCTCTTGGGAGTGTGACTAGTCATCCCCTTCGTTACGTTTTGGTAAGTTCAGATTTTAAATGTCAGATTTCGTTGTAGAACAGAGCTGACGCCAAGCAGTGTGACTCTGTACGTGGGTGTGGACCTGGAAACTGGGGGAAGGGAATGACCATTGGAGTGGTCCTGACCCTTAAAGAGCTCATACTGTCACCAGGGAGATGATGGCACGCCCAACTGCAGCCTAATACCACCGACAAAGCATCACATCCTTAAGGGCTTATTAATAGGAGGGCGAGGTGGGGAGACGGGGCAGGAGGGTTCTGGGTTGAGCTCATTTCTGCCGTGAACTGGTGTGTGTCCCTTAGCCCCAGTTTTCCTTCTTTTGACTTGAGGGTAAGTCCCTTTAGGGGCTGCAAAGTAAAAATGAAATAATCTAAAGAGGCACCAGAATTGGGGGGAGCCAGAGGTTTTAGTGTTTTGTTTGTTTGTTTGTTTTTGTGTAAACAGTGCTGGCGGGCTGGGCTTGGGGAATGAGCATGTATTTGCTTGAGAAGCATAATCTGAACCACAGCCTGATGTCTGGCTGTGATCGCTGGACAGAGAGAGCCCAGGCCAGGCCATGAGATCATAACCCGACGCCATCGGCTACAACCAGGTTGGTGGTGGGGTCGATGTCACTAAGAACCCGGTGCAGGCGTATGCCCCCTTACCAGTCGCTGTGTCCCAGCAAGTCCGGGAGGTGGGCAGAAGCCTCCTGAGAGACCTGAGCTGCTGCTTGAATTCTCTGCCCTCGCAGGAAGGGAGGAGGCACAGAAGGGCCCGCATGGGGGGAGGGGAGAACCGAGTTTCTCTGTCGGATGAGTGAGGATCACATGAAGCCCACTGGAGTCAGCCAGGCACGTGCCCCAGGAGGTAGGTTCACCTTCCTTTCCCTGCTCACCTGTCTTTTTTCTTCCCTGTCGGAGAAAGGGAAGGACGAATTCCTGGGAACTTGGGCCAGGCGCTAATGAGAAACTGATTACTGACACCCCAGAATGAAGAGCCTCTGGACCAAACAGCTGGGTGTGATGGTTGGATAGAGAGCCATGGCATTGTCTCAGAGGGAAGACCATACATCATTTTTGTTCATCAGAAACTTGAATGGCCGTGTCAGTTTCTGCCCCCGGGCCCTTGGCTTCCTCTCTGTCAAATACATCTGCTTGGCAACGGCTCGGTCCTCAGCGTGGGCTGCTGTGTTCTGCTCTCCAGTCCGCCCTGGTTGTGTGTAAACTTGCTGTCGGAGTGTGTTCTCCTTGCTCTGGCTGGAAGATTGAGCAGCCAGTGGCCTTAACCCCTGCACAGCCGACTGGGGGCTGGCTCAGTGGCTCTGCAGAGCCCCTGCTGGGTCTCATTCTGCCCCTCCCTCCTGGGCCCACCTGGGCTTCTGGGACAGTACCTTGCAGAGGACTCACTGCAGTCGTGATGGGTTACCATTCACGGGCACTGGGGCTGGAGGGCCGGGTCGGGTCAGGTGTATTTGATCAGCTGTCTGGATGCAGAGGCTTTCTCTGGGCAGTGTAAATAGTCATTGGACAATTTCTTCTGTGCAGCAGTACCTTTTTTTTTTTAACCTTTTGCTTCCTGTTTGTTCTAGTATATGCTTTGAATATAGAGAGGATCCCAGGGGAAAGTCTTGGCTAGACTACAGAGGAAATGAGGAGTGGTTTGGGAGTGCTGGGTGAGCATGCAGGGAGAGAATGAAAGGTCTCCGAAAAGGGCATAAAAAGCATGAATGCCCAGAACCTCGCTAATTGGCAGAAAGCTCAGCCCGACAGTAGACGCCTGTTCTGGGACACTTTAAAAGAAATTAATTCTTGCTGTTGACGTGAGAAGAAGAATTTGTCTGGGAAGGTCTTGGAAATAGACAAGCATTATTTGTAATTGCTGCAGTCACTGAATACAAATGTTGCCGTAAGACTGGTGCTTGGAAGCAGTCTGTCCGCCGTCACTCTGAGACGGGCTGGAGGTTTCCCTTGGTTTCACGATTCATTTGCTTACCGAAGCCAGAAAGGGCAGCCGCTTGGATCTATCGAAGATGCTTCTCGAAGTCTGAGTTAATGGGTTTTGAGCTTGAGTCCATGTGGTTGTCAGCATTGATTGAGCAGCCTCGGGGGATAAAGTCTTCTTGGGGTGGGGGGTGGGGGGCTGGAATTTGATTTCAGAATGCTCTCGGCGATTGGGGTTGAGGAACCAGGAGTTCTGTGGGTAAATTCAGACTGAGATTTTTGTCCTGGTTATTCTGCCTTATGCCAAAGCCCCACGCTCAGCTGATGGCCCAGAAACAGAATGAAGTCATGAGAGCAAAAGGCTTTGGCTGCAGTGTTGATGGAGGGGCTCATCCTGCAGGACAGGCTCCGGGAGAAAGGGGGTCCTGCCTGCAGAAAGCCCCGTGGCCCCTTTCCTGTCCTCTGGGACCGTGAGTGGCGTTTCACAGGTGAGAGGCAGTGAGTCAGTCTGCCTTACTTCAATTCACCTGGAGAAATGAGCCCACTAAGTGCAGAGATGTGGTTTGAGGGATTCTGATATGAGCTGGCCCGTGACCATTCAAGCACAGGGTCCCACTGCCTGTCAACATCCAAGACACCCACCCTGCTTATGTGTATACAGTCAGGACCTGAAGGGTGGCAAGACTCTGGGACTGTGGGAAGGAAATGGTTAACAGCCGACTCTCTTCTCTAACCCCATTTCCGTTCATTTAGCCTTTCAGATTTATTTGCAACCCCTTCTTTCCTCCGCCTTTTGGAACCGGAGTCACATATTGCTCATGAAAAGGGTTTTACTCATAACCGTCCCTCAGGTTGAACCCATTGTGGCTTCATTAACTTCATATGCATCAAATCGCTCTCTGAAAGGGTATTTATTTTCATTTATTTATCTGGGAGTTGAGTAGAGAAGGCTCATGCAGTAACTGTTAATGGGAAATGAACTGATAAAGTCTTGACAGAGACTTTGCTGAATGATGTCTTAATGAAAGGGGGAAGGAGGTGGGGTAGGCGAGGAAGATGCAGGCTGTCAGCCCTGGGAAGGGGCCTGGGAAGAGGATGATGGTGGGTAATGCGGCTTGGACCAGCCTGAGCCCAGCGCTCCCCTCTGGATGGCTCTAGGGAGAGAGAGAATGGATGTTGAATGGCTGTTTGGAGATACTGACATTTTTATGATCTTTGCAGTTTGCTCCTCTGTGGAGTTAAAGATGGTGTGGGCAGAGGGGAGGGGAGGGAAGGAGGTGGGGGTGTGTCTCCACGGCCTCGTATCTTTCTTTTTAGTCATACTGGTATTACATCAACATAACACAAAAATCTCATTATAAAAATTGAACAAAATTTTAGGTGGAAGTCCTTTCTTTTTGTAGACGGCGTCCTCCCCAAATTCATATGTTAAACCTGATCTCCAAGGTGGTAGTATTTGGAGGTGGGGCCTTTGGAAGGTGATCAGGTCCTGAGAGTGGTGCCCTCATGAATGGCATCAGTGCCCTTATAAAGAGGACCTCAGATTCGAAGGACAGGGAGACCTCAGAGAGCCCCCTTCTGCCGTGTCAGGACGCACACATACCATCTGTGAACCAGGCAGCGGGCCCTCCCCAGACACCGAATCTGCTGCCACTTTGACCTTGGACTTCCCAGCCTCCAGGATTGCCAGCAATACATTTCTGTTATTTATCAACCCAGTTGATGGGAATTTATTGAAGCGGCCTGAATGGAGGAAGACTCTCCTCTGTTCCGCACTCTCCCCAAGCCAGTCAGCCATCAGTCATCTGTTTAGTGAGAGTCCTCGCAGATTTCTTCCCTTTCTCTCTTTTCTTCTTTTTCCCCCTCTCTTTAAGAAAACCAATTATGTTGTGTCTAATAAATATTGAAATAGAAACACTTTCCCCGTGCTTGGATTGTTGCAGTTTACTTTCTGTCACCTCTTGCGCAACATGAATCCTGACCCACGTGTTTAGATTTCCCTTCTCTTTACTTACGTGTGTGCATGTGTGCAGCTGGAACCCACCGGTGCATTCTTTTGTGTGTTGTTTTAAAAATTTGGGATGGTTTTTATCTGCAGCCGTTCCAGTACCTGTACAGCATCCTACCATCTCGGTAGTGGCTTGCCAGACCGCCTGAGTCATCAGACGGCCCTGAGCTTTCACCTGTGTGTATATGTACCCCTGGAAATGGAATTTTGGTTATGTGTGTCCTGAAAAACCAGTGGTGACATCCTGGCTGTGTGGTTGCCACTTGCTTTTCCAGCTTTGCTTTACATCTCGGCAGTCTTCTCTCCGTGAGATGTGTGATCCCGCCACCCCCCCCTTGGGGTTTGACATCTGAAGAGGCTGCCCGAGGACTGCAAGGGGAAGGAAAGGTGGTGATGTCTGGCTCTGCCCGAGACTCTCCTGTTGGAGAGACCGGGGCTAATAGTCCTGCCCAGACAGGCTCCGGGGCAGGGAGGTCAGCCAGCAGTAGGGGTACTACCTTCTGCCCAGTGCCCTCCTTAAGGTAGCATCCCCAGTCCTGTTCAGTTTTCCTTTGTTTTCTCTGTGATGGTAAAAAGATGCCTCTGCATCCTCTTAAAGGAGCAGGACGTGCACGTACCCTGAATATGCAGCCCGCTGTTGCTGGAGTCAGTCTCTGGCTGGCTGGAGGTGCTCTGAGAGACCACGTATGACAACTGTCCAGAAGTGACAGATGTTGCAGGAGGTGATTATTTCCCCCCTCAACCGGAGCGGGGTTTGCATGTTTTTTTCTCCTTCATAGATGCTCTCCATCTATCGCATTCTGATTCTGTTTCTCCAAAGAATGCCTCACAGAGGGG